GTCGGCCCCGACTCATAGCGACTCCTCCTTGGGTTTCCGAGGCAGTATCACTACGGAAGTAGGATTGCCCAACCTTCCTTCCGAGGAGTGGCTGGTTAAACATCATGGAGACTACCAATTCATCAGTATGGTTTATGATGTAAACATTAAAAACCAAAAAAAAAACACAAACTCACTGCCATTGAGTCAAATCTAACTCATCACGACCCCTTCTTGGGTTTCCAAGGCAGTGTCTGTACGTAAGTAGATTGCCCAGTCTTTCTTCCGAGGAATGGCTGGTGGGTTTGAACCACCAGCCTTCTGGTTGGCAGTCAAGTGCCTTAGGCACTACTCCACCAGAGCTCCTTAAACATTAAAGAAAGCCTTTTTTCTTCACTTATATATCTTAAAATAAGAATTAGTGTACTAATGGGGAATTAAGTATATAAAGTATTTGTATCTTCCTAGCCAGTTTAAAATAAAAGGTTCAGATAGGCCTTGGCTTTAAAGTTAACATTATGCATTATTGCATTAACTTTATATGTTACAATATTTTAGAAGCATTTTACTTGGAACAGTTTTAAATACATACTTTCTTAAACTTATATTTCTTTTATTATACCCACTAATCTTACTGAGAATTTAGTTCATTATATGTTACATTAACTGTCAAATTCACAAATACATGGACAAGTTGATTGTAGCAATCAATGTGTAATAAGGAAACAGTTTAAAAATGAATCTATAAAACGAATGATTTTGGTTCTCTTTAGATACGTTCCGCCTAGAATGACTTGATGTGCCCAGAACCAGGAGAGTTTTTCTTTGCTGTTTCTTAGATTCTAACTATTCTGTGTTGGCCTCTCTTATAAAATTTGTGCTTTTTGAATGAGTAGTAAATGTTGAAAGTTGACCCAGCTGTAAACCAGAAAACAAAACCCACTGCTATCAAGTCAATTTGACTCATAGCAACCCTATAGAGTGGAGTAGAACTGCCCCGTGGGGTTTCCTAGACTGTAAATGCCTCATATTTCTCTCATGGAGCAACTGGTGGGTTCAAACCACCAACCTTTTGGTTAGCAGCCAAATGTTTTAACCACAGTACCACCAAAGCTCCTTGACCTGGCTGTAGATTCAAAAAAATCTCTCAGATTCTGATGCAGTCTGGTCAGCACTATTCCTCTGCTAAATGAACTGATAAACTTGGATTTGAGGACATATTTTCCTCTGGGCAAAGTTAAAGGGTTTAGAGGGACATTGAAACCCCCTAATACTGTTCTTTATCTTCTTCTAACCAGCAGAAATGGCTGGTCTAGATGTACTAGGACAATGTGTTTCTCATTGCAGTAATGGGTGTTCTTTTTAGTCTATTGTTGTTGTTATGTGCCGTCAAGTCGGACCCAACTCATAGTGACCCCGTGGGTTTCCAAGGCAGTATTACTATGGAAGTAACTTGCCCCATCTTCCTTCCGAGGAGTGGCTGGTGGGTTTGAACCGCCAGCCTTCTGGTTAGCAGTCAAGTACCTTAGGCACTACTGAGAAGTAATAAAAATAGTTACAATTTGTTTTGAAATTTTTCTTGTTTTTATTTGCCTTTAAAGACCATCTTATATTTAGTCATTTCTTTTTGTTTATCTCTTTTTCCTATACTGAATCTTTAATGATTGCCAATTCTCAAATTAAACCATTTAACTATTTTAAAAGAATGTGCTAGAGAATATTCTCAAACATATAAATAGTAGATAGAAATTAGGACATAGCAGAATTATAGTCTGGATAACTAGGAGTTGATGCCTAGTTTAATCAAGCAGGTGCTTTAATCTCCCTTTCACTTAGCATGCCTTGAAGAACCTAATGAGAGTGGCGGGGGAAGCATTGTGTTTTCTTATATATCACACAGACCCATTTTCTCCATAAATGTTACACATTAACATGTCTGTACAATCAGAAGGTAAAGAATGTGGGTACAGTATGGTTTACAAAAAAACATAATTTGTTATATTTCTATTAATACTACATTAGCTGTGACAATAAGTTCCAAAGTTTAATTTCCATTAGATAAGAGGTTGAAATGAGTTTAGTTGGGCTAGCTGAAAGAGGCAAGTGGTTTTTGAAAACAGAACATTATGTAATTTGTTTTGACTGGATGGACTGAAATGTTTCACTAACCCACATAATATAAAAAACCACAAGTCTTTCCAATCTGAAATGTAGATATCTTAAAAATGAATAGACAGTCTAACAAGTTATAAAGATCTTCTTAAATGATCTCTATTGTTTTGAGAAATTAATTCATTTGTACCTTTGAATTTTAATTGTAAAATAATGTTACATATGGCCCAGATTATATAAATTGTTAGCCCTAATCTGTAAAAATTTAAG